CTAATTTTGTCCTGTTCGTTTGGCTTTGTTTATTCTTTCTACTTTCCTGCTAGCATCTGGCCCAGGGACACCTGATTCCATTGAAGGGGTGAGCCAGCACCTTTCCCCAGAATCATCAAGAAAAGCTTACTGCAGGACCTGGGAGCAGCCCAGTCAGTCAGCTTCTTTCACCCACATGCCTCAGTCACCTAATGTGTTCAATGAACATATAACAAACAGTACCATGTCACCAGGGACTGCAGCACAGAGCCTAAAATCCCCAGCTTCTATAAGATCCAGGAGTGTGTCAGATTCTTCAGTTCCCAGAAGAGGTAACGTTGCTCTGTTTGTTATCAGTACTCTGTCAATGCTTCACGATAAAAATTCAAATCAGTTACTCCGAAATTTCTCCTCAAGGACAGGGAGATATACTTTTAACAACTGAACTAAAAACACAACTCTGAGATATTACCAGCAGAAGAGATAGCTAGTAGATGGCTGACAGCTTTGAAAGGGGACTGAGAGAGAGGAATAAGCAGCTTGTTACTGTTTTCCATATGGTTTAATTATTTACAGAAAGAAAACATGTGCAGTGTTGTGAATGTCCCAAAAGATGCTTTCCTGTTGATAACATTGAACTCTGTATTGTGTATTCACGCCTTTATGCGGCCTTTGTTTTTGAAACATCATGAATTGAGTGGTTTTCAGAACACACCATTAGTTTTAGAGCCAACAAATCACACACTGTTTCGTCTCAAGGATTGCTATCCCCTCCATTCAATAACAGTAAACCAACTTCTTCCTTGTGGTTCCTACTTCCATTGCACTTTCCTTCCCAACCCCTGTGAACCTTAACCCCAGGTAAATAGTTGGACATTCCATGCTGAGCATACCTCACTGGTAATTGTTGTCCTCCCTACATACCTGTCCACTGTTCAGTTGAAAATTGGGCCACATGGATGAGCTCTGTTCCAGACCTAAAGATTAGCCAAGGGCCAGTCTCGGGTTCAGTATGTTTTTAATCCTTTATTTTCTATTTAAAAATTAATCTTTTTTTTTTTTTTTTTTTTTTGTCTTAAAGTAGGATTAGAGTATAATGAGCAAGTGGAAGATTCATGAGAACACAGAAGACAGGCAGTCCAGCCAGCCTTGGGGTTTCATAATTATCCTTGATTTTCAGTCGTTGATTTGGCAACAGTAGTACCTTTGATAAGAAAATCCCAGAGTGATGAGTATATCTAATATACCCCAGTATTTTCTCATGTAAAATAGAGGTTACATAGAACTTTATGAGCTTCCAAGAAGTAAGATTGACAGAATTTACTAAGCATTCAATAAATGGTAGCTATTATTTAAAAGGTAATATGACAACTATCAAACGTGAGGTTAAAATATAAGATACCATTTTTTTTTACATTTTTTCGTTATAGTGATGAGTGAGTGCATTTTGCTTTGTAATGGTCTTTGTGAATTAACGTTTATTTGATGTTTCTATTTTTAGATTCACTTTCAAAAACATCAACTCCTTTTAAATCAAACAAAGCTGCAAGTCAACAAGGGACCCCATGGGAAACACTTGTTGTGTTTGCTATCAACTTGAAGCAATTAAATGTTCAAATGAATATGAGTAATGTAATGGGAAATACAAAGTAAGCTATTCGTATGCAAAGGAAAAAAGCATTTAATGAGTAGTTGTAAACAATAAAAACAGATAAGATATACAATTTTAATTGTTTTATCTGAAAACTTGAATAATGCCAAGGTTATTATAATGTTAAGCAGTGTAAAATATATTTGCCTTTAGAAAGAAGGAAAATTATAACAAAAACAGTAATTTTCTAAATGGGAAGAAAGCTTCATGAATGTTAACATTCAAACTTTTGCCACATCACCTTTATAAGAAATGTGTTGTTTCTCTGTCAGACTTGACTTTTTATTTAAATAATTTGTTTTCATAAGATTGGCAGCCATATGTCTAATTATGATAACTTTTTTCCTTTCTTAGTTGGACAACTAGTGGTCTGAAGAGCCAAGGCCGCCTGTCTGTGGGAAGTAATAGAGATCGAGAGATCAGTATGTCTGTTGGTCTGGGAAGATCACAGTTAGATTCCAAAGGAGGTGTAGTTGGAGGGACCATAGATGTCAATGCTTTGGAGATGGTTGGTATGTAGAAATTTTACAACTGATCTGTTATATCATTTAAAAACTATATTGGATAAGAGTTTTGAAATTGATTTTGATGAGTTTTTCCTAGTAGGACATTTTTGTGAAAACTAATTATTGTTTATGTTTTAGCTCATATTTCAGAACATCCAAATCAGCAACCTAGTCACAAAATTCAGATAACTATGGGTTCTACTGAAGCTCGAGTTGATTACATGGGCTCAAGTATTCTTATGGGAATCTTCAGTAATGCTGATCTTAAGCTTCAGGATGAATGGAAAGTAAACCTGTATAATTCGTTGGAGTCAAGTATGACTGATAAAAGGTATCAAGTGAACAAAAAGAAAATTTCACATAGCTGCTCTTAAAATATTTTCTGTTATCCAGTGAGAACATTCAAATAATTCATTTTTCCTATAAAATGATTTTCTGTTATGTAATTAATATGAAAGAAAATGCTGGGTAGGGAAAAGAATGTGTCTTGTACTTTCAACTGTCTTTAAGAAATGTAATAAGGATTCTGTTTTGTGCTTTAGTGAAATTTTTGTCCATGGTGATTTGAAGTGGGATATTTTCCAAGTAATGATATCAAGATCAACCACACCAGATCTGATAAAAATAGGAATGAAGCTCCAGGAATTTTTCACACAGCAGTTTGACACCAGCAAACGAGCCCTGTCTACCTGGGGACCAGTTCCTTATCTTCCACCTAAAACAATGACTAACAACCTAGAGAAAACTTCACAAGAACAGTGTAAGAATTAGAACTAAGTCTTTTTAATATATGCTTTCTCTTTCAGTAAATGTGCTATAATTTTAATAAAAAGTAGTAATAATGATCTATGTACCATACTTACTGAGTAGTCCCATTTCCCTCCTGCCTTTATTCAGCAAAGAATCTCCCTGCCAATGGAAATATTATTGTTATCGTTAAGTGCCAGAGCCAGTTCCTACTCATTGTGACCCCGTATAGGGTTTCTGAGGAGCGAGTGGTGAGTTTGAACTGCCAACCTTGTGGTTCAAACTAACCTTGTAGTCCAATGCTTATCCTATAGAGACCATCATTTGGACCATGTGTTATCCTCTCCTTGCTACCAACTTTTCTACAACCCTAGCTATTCCATTCTCTTGGATACTAATTATGACAATACCATATTCTAGTTTAGAATCCAGGCTGTAGAGTCAGAATTTACGAGCTGTGTGATACTAGATGGATCATTCTTTTACCTCAGTAGTTCAGTCAGCATTTATTTATTACCTAACAACCAAGTGCTAGGCACTGTTCTAGGTACAGGAGATCTGGCCCCATAGAGCTTATATTCTAATGAAAGACTCCAAAATGAATTCATTATTAGAGATTATTTGAGGCAGAGAGAAATGCTGAAAAAAGAAAGACATGGAAGGTGATAAAGTATATAGATACAGAGAGTAAAGATGGTCAGGAAAATGTTTTCTGAAGTGACATTTTAGTAGAAATATGAAGTGAAAGAACTAGGTTAAGATGTGAAGGAAAGATATTCCAGATACAGGCGCCATTGAGAGATGTGAAGCACCCACAGTGAGAACAAACTAGGCTTGTTTGAGGAACATGATTATGGTCATTGTGGTTGGAATAAAGTGAGCAGAGAGGTGATTGGACATGAATTCATAAAGGTAATCCACAGGTCAGATTTTAATATGCTAGATAGCTACTGGAGAGTATTGAACAGAGTTGATAGCACTTGATTTATTTTCTCAAAATAACTCCTTTACAGCATCACTCTGGTTACTGTGTGGAGAATAGACAATAGGGAAATAAGATTGGAATGAAGTATCAGGAAACCATTAGGACATCATTGCAGTAGTTTAGGCAAGAGATAATGCTGTCTTTGAGTAGGCTGACAGCAGTAAAAGTGGTCAAAAGTACTCAGTCAGTATCAACTTTAGTAACATTGTATTATCACAGAAGTAGTACCTAAACATTGAAAAAAATTAGATTTTCTGTACGTCAATATACGATGAATATCTTTACCAAAATATTGTTCCCATTATTTTGTATCCTTTTTCTAGCTGACAGTACCCAGCTTTTCATTTGCTAATTTCCTTTAATATTCAGACCACATTTAAAATGAACAAAAAATCTACTTTACATCTGGTTAGCGCATACCAGTATCCAATCTAAAACCATACTCCTTTACTCTCTTTTATTTGAGCATAGTCTCTTTTTTTATGACCTGACTTGTTGGCAACTTTTTGACAAGACCTAACTACTTGTCCCACTGAATGTCTTACCTTCTAGAATTTTTCAGTGGCTTCTGCTATTAGTATCATTCATTTTGTTTCTCTGTTGTTGCCGTTTGGTATCATCAAGTTGGTTTTAATTCATAGCAACCCTATGTACCACAGAAGCTGCCTGGTCGTCCTATACCATTCTCAAATTATTACATTATAGATACTATGTCGGAGTCCTGGTGTGGCGGTGTGGGTTAATGTGGCAGATTTCAAAGCCGTTTGAACTGCAAGGTCGGTGGTGCAGTTCAAGCTCACCAGCTGTGCCTCGGAAATCCTATCTATATAGGGTTGCTGTGGGTCAGAACCGACTTGATAGCACTTAACAACAACAACAGCTACTATGTCAATTCAAATTATTGAGGGTCTTCTTCTTTTAAACTGCCCCACAGATGATGTCCTTTTCCAGAAAATAATGCCTCCTGATAGCATGTCTTCACATTTAAGGAGCATTCTGGCTGTACTTCTTCCAAGAGATTGTTTCTTATGGCAACTTCTCTGTTCTTCATTTATTCACTTAAAAAGAGTCAAGATGAAGTACCTAGTTTATAATGTTATTGTCAGAACTATGTAAATTGCAAGCAAATACTTTGTAAATCATTAATCATTACAGAAGTGTTGTTGTAATTACTATTAGCAAGTTACTACTTCCCTTGCAGGAGAAAGGTGAGGCTTTCTGCTCCCGTAAAGATTTAGTCTTGGAAATGCTATACAGGGTCACTGTGAGTAGGAACTGACTCGATGGCATACCACCAGCACTGCTGCCCTTACTCTGTCCTTTCTCTATCCTTATGTAGTGTCTTTTCCCCATCTCTGTACTAACTACTGTTTCATATTGATCAAGTTCTGGAGAGTTATATTCATCTAGTTTCAAAGTTGCCTTCAGCAGTACACAGTAGTACCTGTTGCCTTCCTTCAGAATGAATATTCATGAGGCATCTCAGGATAAATTATATTGTTTTTCTTGCAGTGCTTGATGCAGCACATCATCGACATTGGCCTGGAGTATTGAAGGTAGTATCAGGATGCCATATATCCTTATTCCAGATTCCATTACCAGAAGATGGAATGCAGTTTGGAGGCTCAATGAGCTTACATGGAAATCATATGACATTGGCTTGTTTTCATGGTCCTAATTTCCGTTCAAAATCCTGGGCCCTTTTTCATTTAGAAGAACCAAATATTGCATTTTGGACTGAAGCTCAGAAAATCTGGGAAGAAGGTAAAGTGATATATTTCTAGCTTTTACTTTTTTGACTCTTATGATAAGAGCATAAATATAAATTTTCTTGTCTGTTTTACTTTTAATAATTCTGAAGTTCATTTCTATTTCTTATCATGTACCTGAAAGAGCTACGACTCTGGCCGCGTACCGCAAGGTCAGCAGTTTAAAACTACCAGCTGTTCTGCGGGAGAAAGATGAGGCTTTCTGCTCCCATAAAGATTTACAGCCTTGGAAACCCTGTTCAGGGTCGCTATGAGTCGGAACCGACTCCACGGCACATAACAACAACAACAACATCATGTACCTGACCTGTCAAGAAGTTTACTGCCAATGTATTGATATCTATAAAATCTAAAACTTAAGACCTACTTCGGATCTTGTCCTGTTTTTCACTTAAGCAATTAAGTTTCTGCTTTTGTGAATGGCTTGTTGTTGTTGTTAAGTGCCGTCGAGTCGGGTCCGACCCATAGCAGTGGTTATAAATGTTATTAAACAAGAACAGATGATATGAGGAAATTATTAGCTGTCAAGACTGCATTGTAGTCTTGAGCAAGGTTGTACTGTATATCTCAATTTATAATGATTAGTGCCTTTTTAGCTAATTATAAGAGGAAAATTTGTGATTTTTTTTCTCTTTTGCGGTCCACAATCTTACAGCTTTCTCTGTGTATAACTTAAATGTATTGTTCTGGGGCTTCAACTTCCTTTTTGTTCCTAAACTTGTTTATTACTTTAAGTACATTTGTTTTTCATCAGGTTCCAGTGATCATTCTACATATATTGTACAAACATTGGATTTTCATCTGGGTCATAACACCATGGTTACTAAACCATGTGGAGCTTTGGAAAGTCCTATGGCAACAATAACTAAAATAACAAGGCGTCGCCATGAAAATCCACCACATGGAGTAGCAAGTGTGAAAGAATGGTTCAATTATGTTACAGCCACCAGGAATGAAGGTTAAACTTTGATTCTTTGAAGATAATTACATTTTGTATTTTCTATTTGGTTTTATTGACTGTATATTTAAGTGGAGGGTAGTAGTCATTTCCTTAATTTATAAGTTTTATTTTACTCCTCCACTACTAATACCAATTATTAAGTATAGAATTCACTGGTTGCATAACTTCCTAAACCTGTTGTCATCCAGCTGATTTCAACTCATAGTGACCCATCAGCATATCAAGATCCTGAAAGTTTTACTTTGTTCGCAGCATCATGGTCAACTATAGTTTGAGGAGGCAGCTCTTCCCCAGTTGTATTATGAGTGTCTTCTATCCTGAGGGGCTCATCTTTAGGCACTCTGTCAATATTCTTGTGCTATTCATAATGTTTCAGTATTCAGTATTCTGGTACTATCTAACACTGTTCCATTGCTATTCATAAGGTTTTCAGGGGCTAAACATTTAGAAATAGTTTGCCTCTCCTTCTTCCTAGTCTGTCTTATTCTGGAAGCTCAGCTGAAATCTGTCCATCATAGATTACCCTGCTGGTATTTAAAATACTGGTGGCAGTGGTTTTCAGCATCACAGCAACACATAAGCTAACACAGTATGACAAAATGACAGATGAGTGGTGAAACATCTCATTACAATTAAGTTTATTGTAATTGTAAAAATATTTTTGTACTAAGCTTACAGATTAGAGGTTTAGAAAAGTTATTACTCAACTAAATAGTATGACGCACAAATTTAACATTTGGAATAACTTGAACAGAGTGAAACTAATATTAAACTTAAGTCATAAGTTTCAGGAGAGACTTTTGATTATTTTTTTTTATTTGATTAGATTCACCAATCTTGTAATGTCATGGGAGCTTTTATGGCTGTTTTCTTCAGTTTGAGTTTATAATATTGCTTTTATCAATCATCTCCTCTGTATTGGAAAGCTATACATGAATATTTTAGTTTAAATGACCTCTTTTTCAAAATGGCAAAGATGATGAATTTAGGCCCCACTGAGAAATTTCAATAGGATAGGGAATCCCAGGGGTTAAATAGAGACTCTAAAAAGTATTCTGAGAATAAAGGCACACAAGAAAGTAAATTAGAAGAATATACCTGTATTGAATATTTTCCTAAATAGGGATTTAGTGAAGGAGATTCTTTCTGTCTGGGATGCACCTGAGAATTCATTAGGATATCTGCTGTTAGTGTATCTAGAAAAATCCTTATTTTTGTGAGAAATCTAATATCTGACCATAACACTTACACAAGATTTTTACCTGATTTCAAAGTCAGTGTCACATTAATTCTAAATTCTCAAAGTAGAGGGTTCACTCTTTGGAGAATTTTGGACTTAATTTTAACTTAAGTTCAGACAGGAACTCAGTGGAAAATAACATTTGGTTAGAGAAACACAAAAAAAATAAAGGACAGATTGATCAAAATGATATACAAAGCTTTAGTGTTGAAAATAGTGTTATATGTATATTATCCTTATTTTTTTTTAAACGTCTATCTACAACTTTTAAAAATGAGAAAAGCTAGTAATAAAATGAGAACAGTTCTGTATTTCGTAGTAACTTGAAAGTTATTTATCAGTTCCTACTGGCTTAATTGAATTCTTATTGTCTTCTTTATTCTTATGAGTTTAGAGCTAAACCTGCTTCGCAATGTGGATGCTAACAACACTGAGAGTAGCACGACTGTGAAGAATTCTAGCTTGTTAAGTGGATTCAGAGGAGGTTCTAGCTACAATCATGAAACTGAAACTATCTTTGCCTTACCAAGGATGCAGCTTGACTTTAAGTCCATTCATGTTCAAGAACCGCAAGAACCTACATTACAGGGTATGTGGAAGAGAATTCCTTCGTTTCTGTAGTTCCTGAGGAAATTCTATTGGAAGTTCAAATTAACATTTGCCCACCAGTTATTTTTTGTAATGTTAATATGATGTCATAATAACTGATTTTATGGCTTAAAGTAACTGATTTTCTTACCAGCTATGTGACCTCCAACAAATTATTTAGCCCATATGTAAAATGAGGAATAAATAAGGCTTCACTCATAGGGTTGTTTTAACAATAAATAGCACATCCAAGAAATGTGCTTACTCATCATTCTGTAAATTACATACAGAAATGATAATTTCTCTGTAGTTTCATGTGAAGTGGATACACAGACCCATGTCAACCCCTTATTAACAGATAAGAAGCAGGAACTTACTTATTAAATCTTTTATAAAAAACTTTCCATTACAGATGCCAGCTTGAAGCCAAAGGTAGAATGTAGTGTGGTGACAGAGTTCACTGACCACATTTGTGTGACTATGGATGCTGAGCTGATCATGTTTCTTCATGATTTAGTGTCGGCTTATCTAAAAGAAAAAGAAAAGGGTGAGTAGCATTTTCTTTTCATCCCTTCAAGCTGCAGTAAATGTTGCTGTCTATGCCATTTAGATGAATTTTTATGGTCTAGGAGTAAAGTATAGAAGAAATGAGGAAGTGAAAAAGCTCAACAGAAAATTTCAAAGATCTCGAGAACACAAAGTATTTTACTGAAATGTGCAGAGACCTGGAGTTAGAAAAGCAAAAGGGAAGAACATGCTCGGCACTTCTTAAGCTGAAAGAGCTAAAGAAAAAAGTCAAGCCTAGACCTGTAAGGAGCTCTGGTAGTGTAGTGGTTACGAATCGGGCTGCGAACCTTAAGGTCAGCGGTTCGAAACTACCAGCCGCTCCGCGGGAGAAAGATGAGGCTTTCTACTCCCGTAAAGATTTACACCCTCGGAAACCCTGTACAGGGTCGCGATGGGTCGGACCCGACTCGATAGCACTTAACAACAACAACAACAAGACTTGGAATATTGAATGATTCTGTGGGCAAAATATTGAATGATACAGAAAGCATCAAAAGAAGCTGGGATGAATACACAGTCACTATACAAATCATTTCAAGATACAGCATATAATCAAGAACCAACTGAATTGGCATGCTAAGCAAATAAACCAAGAAACTGGATTATATGAAAAACATAGCATCAGGATTGGAGAAAGAGTCATTAATACTCTGTGATGTGTAGATGATACATACAGTCTTGCTTGCTGGAAACATAAAGGACTTTCAGTACTGATGAAGGTCAAAGGCTACAGCCTTAAGTATGGCTTGTATTTCGGTGTAATGGGAACAAAAATCGTCATAGCTGGACCAATAAATAATATAATACATGAATAAAAGATTGAAGTTGTCAAAAACTTCATTTGCTTGGATCCACAATCAACACTTATGGAAGCAGCGTCCACGAATTCAAATGATGTATTGCATTAGGCAAATCTGCACAAGACCTCTTTAAATTGTTCAAGAACAAAGATGTCAATGTGCAGAGAAGGTGCACTTGACCCAAGTTGTGGTATTTTCAATAGCTTCATATGCATAGGGTCGTTGTGAGTCAGTACCAACTCGAAAGCACCTAACAACATATGTATGTGAAAGTTAGACAATAAATAAAGAAGCCCATAGAAGAACCAATGCATTTAAATTATGGTGTTGGAGAAAAATATTAACAGTACCATTGAGTGCCAAAAGAACTAACAAATCTATCTTGGAAGAAGTACAGCCAAGAGGCTTCTTAGAAGCCAGAATGGCAATGCTTTATCTCTCATACTTCAGACATGTTATCAAGATGGACCAGTCCCTAAAGAAGGACATCATGTTTGGGAGAGGGTCAGCAAAAAAGAAAAAGTTCTCCAATGAGATGGAATGGCAGTAGTAGCAACAATGAGCTCAAACATAAGAACAGTTGTTTGAGCTCAACAGTTGTTTGGCTCATGAACAGGCAGTGTTTTGTTTTGTTGCGTATAATGTCACTATGTATTGAAACCAACTTAATGGACTCTAACAACAGGGAATAAAGGAGTGGAAGGATAAACTTTTAAGAAAACTCTTAAGAGTTGCAAAACTTGGTAGTATATGAGGGGCTTCAAAAAGTTCATAGAAACATGAAATTAAAAGATATGTTATTGCAAGAGTTAAAGGCAACATAAGTAAATACTGTTATATACACAATCCTGAAATACTGATGTTGTATGAGTAGATGCATGGATTGACATGCAAGTTGAATGGATATGGGAGGGATAATGGGAGTATACCCACAGAGAAAGTACATAGGTTTGTTATTGTTATGTACCATCGAGTCAGTTCTGACTCAGAGAAACACTGTATTGGGTTTCCGAGGAGCAGCTGGTGAGTTTGAACTGCCGACCTTTGCTGTTCAACGCAACCTTATGGTCAATTGCTTAGCCTAGAGTACTACACCAGGACTTCAGGTTTAGCAGAGGACATTTGTACATGGGTATTTATCTTTGCTGCAAATGTAAAATGTGGTGAAGTAAATGTGGAGGAGTGTATGGGGACAAAGTTATGACAACTTCTTACACATAACCAAACCCCTCGAAGGAATAAGTCGCTGGGCCTGGGGGGCGAGGGGTCAGGACCATGGTCTCAAGGGGGTTCACTGAGGTCAATTGGCAGAGCATAATCCTTGAAGACAATGTTCTACATTCTTCTCTGGTGAGTCACAGTTAGGGTCTTAAAAACTCTTGAGCAGCCTTCTAAGGTACAATTATTGGCCTGTCCCTGTCTGGGGAATGAAGAAAATTGAAGAGCATGGAAACAAATTAGTTTAGTGTACACAAGGTCAGCCGTTTGAATCTATCAGTCACTCCATGAGAGAGCATTGAGGCTTTCTGTTCCTGTAAAGATTTACAGCCTCAGAAAACCCTATACAGGGTCACTATGAGTCGGAACGGACTCAAAGGCACACCAACAGCAACAAATTGAATAAGAAGATTAATCTGTTTTAAATACAAGACATGTTGGTTTTTGAAAATACTTTTAGATCTCATTGCTGGTGGGTTTTTTTGGTTTTTTTTTATGAAATAACTAACTGAAAACTTTAATGTCTTCCCTTTAAAAGCATGTCTATATATTGAATTGGTTGACTATACACACTCCAGTATATTCATTCAATGGAATACTCTAGATATTTAAGAATGACCTATTGCTTTATTTTATCTTCTTTTTTTTTCCTTTTTTCTATCTGTCATTAGGGTGGTTATGCTGATGATGAAGAATATATTTGAAATATGCAAAACTAGTAGCTTAATGTGTAGTTATTTTATGGTCAGCAGAACGCCCTCTTGCCTACTTGCTATGCCAAGTCCCAAGTCCCTAAGCAAGAAACATTGAAGACTGTGACTAACCTGGGACGCCCATTTGTTACCTTTGTTAGTCCTTGACCATATCACACAGCGAGTAGGCACATACTCCATAGCATGTATTTGTGATGATGGGGAGGGTAGGAGTGCCTAGTTAACACTCTCTATATCTGTCAAGTGTATGATACTCATAAAAGTTTCATTCCTTTCCTGTTTAATGTTTTCTGTCACGGCTATTATTTTGGGGACAAAACAAAAACAAGATAATCTATGGTAAAAGCTCCATGATTTCCCATTTGTTGTTCTCTTCAGAATAAGTTGTATCTGTCAGAATTTGTTGTTGTTGCAGAGAACATAAATTTAATTCAAAATAGCTTTACTAAAACTTACTGGCTAGTATAATACAACTATGAATGGTTTGCTACAAGTACACATAAGAACAAGCTTCTTCCTAACCATCGATGATTGGTTAGGAAGTGTTTTTAGTATCCAAGTATTCTCATGGATACTTGGACCTAGGGACTGAAGAAAAAAAAAGTGTATTGATATGAAATGTTCTCCAAAGTATCTACCCATTTATTTACTTAATAAATATTCTCATATAAATATACAGATATAATGCTTTAAACATTGCTTGGAATAAATGTAATTTGTTAATGGTACTCTATAAATTTACCATGGTGTTCAAGAAAAATTATCATTTGTCTAGCAGATACTTCAATCTAGCCTCTTGAAAACGTTTTTGAGTGAAAAATTAGACTATCAAAAAACTATGTTGAGAAAGGTGGAGTAGCACAGATTAAATTATTCTTCCATTACTGTTCAGTCGATGTGCCAAAAATTCAGTGTTGGGGTAAAATCAGTAACGATGGCTGGGAGAAGTCTCAGACTTGAGTTGAAACTTGAAGTTAAATGTCTGAAATGATATAATAGAAAAGTTTTTGTAGATCCAGTCTTTACATATAGCAACAACATATACCAGTGACTGGTAATCTTTTTGCTTTTCCCTCTGCCATAATATTTAAACTTAAAAAACAAGTTCTAAGTAAACCAGTAAAGTTCAGAATTTTTCTCTGATCTACCTGTATTTGAAAGCCTACTTCTCTTCTAACTTCAGATTTTGAAGCCTTTTCCACTTTATGAAGTATTGTGATTTTGCTCTTCTATAAACCAATTACCAGTGAGTCGGTAGTGTAGAACTGTGTTTCCATAGGGTTTTCACAGGGGGTTTGTTGTTTTCAGAAGTAGATCACCATGCCGTTCTTTTGAAGTATTTTGAAGTGGATGCCAATTTCCAAAGGATGACAGATAAAGTCTGGCCATCCTGGCTTCCAAGAAGTATTCTGGCTGTACTTCTTCCATCGCAGATCAGTTTGTCCTTTTGGCAGTCCATGATGGTACTTGGAATATTCTCCCCCAGTACCATAACTCAAATGTATCAATTATTTATATATATAT